AACCCCGCGCCAAGCCACAGCACTGTACATACTGTACAGTACACTTTAAATGCTACGTATTTAGTTTTTCTTTTATTTAAATTTTTACAATTTACATATATATATATACCTGTATAAGTAAATTGTAATTTACATATTATTCATATTATGCTAGAGCGCCCACAAAACATAAGAAACGTTTGAGTCCCCCAGTAGAGCTGTCCGTTCTCTATCCACTTCAGGATGTCTTAGTCCTCCGTTTTCTTTTTGTGTACTCGCTCAGGGACTCAAGTATTTCTGTATATGACACAGGATGATAAGGGAATTTGAATTTATTTGTTTATTTATTTATATATATAATATACTGTAATATATTAAATATACTGCAAGTATTTTCTTTAATTTATATACGTGTTTCGCGACAAAGGGAGGCTACATTTATGGTGATCGTTAAGGACCAAACTCCGAATCCATGACGTGACTTCTGTTCATTATTTTTATCCTAAATTTACCACTGTAGGTAGTTTCAAGAATTAATGCAGTCATTTACTGAATATTCTTTGCAAAAAAATAAATTTTAAATGAATTATTTATAGGAGATAAATATATTGATCAGTAAATATACAGATATGCATTACTGACCACCTCCAAACACAAGGACGGCTAAAAATAGCCACAGGCGGTCACAGTCAAGGTCACTGGCAAATGGGGGTGGGGGGGGTGGATGATAATAGCAGCTGTGTTTATTACGGTATGTTAGACTGGTTTATAATACATTTTTATTATTTTAATATACCGGTAATCTTCATTTTAATCCAGCTTCCCAAACGTAAGTTTCAGTATAAAATAATTAGTGGTACTGTAGGACCTTGTGAGTGGTTTACTGTATACATAAATATTACATAAATTATTTCTGCAATTCTTCACAAACAAAACACATAAATCAATTGAATATGTGATGTCGAACGTAAACTGTAAACACTGTGTATGATGTAAAGAGAGCGCGGGTGTAAAACGCTATGTAATTTGATTTTCTCTTTTATGTAAAATTTTACAATTTACTTATAATATATAGGTATACTGTATACATAAATATTACATACATTATTTCTGCAATTGTTCACAAACAAAACACATAACTCAATTGAACATGTGATGTCGAACGTGAACTGAAGTCACAACAACCGTTCGAGTGGAATCGCGTTAGAGCAAACGAGTTCGCGTTATACAAATATTGTTCCGAATTCATAAATCGCGTTCGATCAAATTCGCGTTATCAAAACACGCGTTATAGCAGAACTCACTGTATAGATTTTTAGATTTTTAAATAAATATTTTTTTTTTTAACCCTTAGGCCCCGGGTGACGTTCCAGAACGTCCGCCTATTTCCCTCCCTCCTCCCCCCCCCCCTTTTTGTTTTCTCGATTTAACTCCGTGTGGGGGGTACTGCCAGCAACACACTAACCCCCGGGGCTTAAGGGCTAACCAAACTTTTAGATAAACACTGGCTGAGTACAAAAAGGGCTAAAGTAAAAAAAATTCATTTTTTCAGGAGAGGCAAAGGAAGATTTAAATTTTTATTATAAAATCAGCCTTTAGATATATGTTTACAAAACAAATGCAGATGGAAGCCCTGCTAGTGGAGAACTTTGTGTACCAATAGGAGGTCCCTTGTGCAGACGGGAAGTGCCGTAAGAGTATCATTCAAATGACTGTAGCCCTTTTTGCATTAAGGTGAGATGCAGTTTTGAGAACAACAGTACATTGGCCATTTTTGCAACTAATACTCTGCAACAATGATTATGTTCTTGAAGGTTGTAAGTATTCATAATGTAAGAAATTTACACCAATTTGATGCAGTATTTTCATTATGCTGTATATACAGTGGTCCCTCGGTTAACGAGCACAATCCGTTCCAGCAGGTTGCTCGTTAACCGAAAAACTCGTTAACCGAAACCATTGTTTCAATGGGTTTTTGGGTAATTGGTTCCAGCTCACCGAAAATTGCCTAAATTCAACAAAAAAGTTAGAAAAGTACACTTACTTTGAGGTGTGTATGTAAAAGGCTCCTGGATGATGATGATGATGATGATGGGAATTAGAATGGGGGTGGAGGAGAAGGAAGAAGAGAAGGCATTGGGGTGGAAGAGAAGTCACCCCATGGTGCCATTTCACCCATAAAATTTTAGCTCTCTTTGTGTAATTCAAGATTATTTTCTTTAAATCAACACTGCACTGCATTATATATTGTCAATATGTAAAATATATTTCAAAATGACCAATAATTTGCTTGGAAACACAGAAAAAAAGCATTTAGTTGAAGAGAGTCTCAAGCAAGATGTTACCTCCACTGAAAACAGAGAGAGACTAACACCTGTCTGGTGTGTTAACAGGCTGGATGGCACGCCAGAAACTAGTTTCTTTACCTTCAATTATTTTCAATAATTGTTAAAATGACTATAAAAGTTAATATTAAACTTTTAAAATTATTGAATAGTTTAAACTTCTTGATATTTACTAAAATAGTAAGGCATTTAAGCCCTAAAACCGATTACTGTATTGGCGGACTGATACTACAGCTGGTGGACCGCCAAATGTAAGCGAAAACATGTTGAAGTCGGCTCGTAAAAAACTCGTTAATCGAGGGATTGCTCGTTAACCGAAGTTAAGAATCTTATGGAAGGTAACTCGTTAACCGAAATCTCGTTAACCGAGGCGCTCGTTAACCGAGGGACCACTGTACAGCCACTCCTCGACTTACGACCACCCGGACATACGACCGCCCCAGCCATACCAAATTTTTTCAAATTACATATTTTCGAGTCCCGACGTCAGTGATTGCTCTGTGTATTGACAACATTTTCGTTTGTAATTCCCTTTAAAATGGCTGGCATGCTTAAAAGTGAGAGTTTTGTGGATCTGAGAAGAAAAAGAGACAACCATTTTAGATTTTCTATGTATTATCTTCGCATTTTCGACTTAGGACCTGGATTTGGGTCCTTAACCCCATCGTAAGTCGAGGAGTGGCTGTAAATATATATATATTTTTATTTTTATTTTTTAAATCCGTTAGAACATGATAAAATATTCAATAACCTGTGATATTTCAGCACTACCGAGCTTTCATTAAATACTAGTCATTGTCTTGAATTTCTGTCTCCTGTGGTTCATCATAATTATCTGAGTCATCCCTCTTTAAAGTTTTGTAGAAGAGTTGGCTGCCTTTTGATCTTTAAGGAAGGAGATCCACGAGTTCCTTCCATTTTTAGCTTGTATATTTTGTTCAGATTGTACCTTGTGAACCTGTGAAATCTGCCTTGCCCTTCCTTTGTTAAGACTGACCCTTCTGGTTCTCACAAAAGTAGAGCTTTGGTATGACATTCTCCCAAGGCACCTTCACTACTCTCAGAACCAATGGAGATAGAGACTGGCTCTTATGGCACTAAAAAGTACTTCACTTAAGGTAATGTTACATGGGCCAAAGTCAAAATTGGGTACAGTGACCCCTCCGTTAACGAACTCAATCCGTTCCAGAAGGTCGTTCGTAAACCGAAAAGTTCGTTAACCGAAACCATTGTTTCAATGGGTTTTTGGGTAATTGGTTCCAGCTCACCGAAAATTTCCTAAATTCAACAAAAAAGTTAGAAAAGTTCACTTACTTTGAGGTGTGTATGTAGAAGGCTCCTGGATGATGATGATGGGATTTAGAATGGGGGTGGAGGAGAAGGAAGAAGAGAAGGCATTGGGGTGGAAGAGAAGTCACTCCATGGTGCCATTTCACCCATAAAATTTTAGCTCTGGTGTAATTCAAGATTATTTTCTTAAAATCAACACTGCACTGCATTATATATTGTCAATATGTAAAATATATTTCAAAATGACCAATAATTTGCTTGGAAACACAGAAAAAAGCGTTTAGTTGAAGAGAGTCTCAAGCAAGATGTTACCTCCAGTGAAAACAGAGAGAGACTAACTCCTGTTTGCTGTGTTAAGAGGCTGGATGCCGCGCATTAAACTAGTCACTTTACCTTCAATTATGTTCAATAATTGTTAAAATGACTAAAAAATTGAATATTAAACTTTTAAAATTATTGAATAGTATAAACTTCTTGATATTTACTAAAATAGTAAGGAATTTAAGCCCTAGAACCGATTATTGTATTGGCGGACTGATACTAAAGCTGGTTGCCCGGTCAGTGCAAGTGAAAACATGTTGAGGTCGGTTCGTAAGAACTTCATTAACCGAATTTTTTTTCGTTAACCGAATTGAAGATCCTTATGGAAGGCAGTTCGTTAATCGAAATTACGTTAACCGAGGTGTTCGTTAAACGAGGGGTCACTGTATTTTAAACATTGGTCCTTTTTGCACTCAGCCAGAGAGCTATTCAGGATTATTCTAGTAATGAAATTGAGTTTCTAACTTAATTAGAACTGCATTTACAGACTCTGATATCAACATTTCTTACATTTTTTTTTCATAAAAGAATGGAGTCCCCATCATTATATCGTGCCAAAATATTTTATTTAAGGATCTCTTAATGGAAACGTCTTGTAGAGAATTTATTCATGCTCATTATGGTACCAAATTCATCTTTAACACAATTAGAACAAATGTTGTGGATAAAAGTTTATACAGTTTTTTGCTAGCAATAAATATTTTCGCTTGTGCCCGCGGTCTAGATGTAATGGGAGATGCATAGTTTAGCATTGAGGTGAGGTGCTTAGTTTAGACTCTCAGAATCTTTCTCCAGCACCCAGAAATATGCTGGGGATGTGAGCTAGTGTCTGTCTGTGCAAGATGTGTAGTTTAGACTTTCAGAAACTTTTCCCAATACAGTACCCGGAAAAATTCTGTGGATGAGGGATTTTTCCGTGTTTGAGAGAGTCCTCTCATTATCCGTAAATCTTTCATCCCTGGAAGAGCTCTGCACCAATTATTCCAGATAATGAGGATATCACTGTAAATATTTTTCAAAAAGAGATAATTAAAAAATTTGATATTCTCTTGTTTGCACTTTCAGAACATACATATCATCCTGCCCAAACGCCACCATCGCATTCACCATGTGGCACCCCATGAGACATACTTCTGCATAACTACTGGCTGGCTGAATTACCCCCTGGAGAAGCTCAAGTTTTGGACCTCCTTAGAATACTTGATTCAGCTGGTGACAGGCTGCAAACCCCGTGCTGATGACTTCAAGTGGGCACAGAAGAGGGAATGAAAACAAAGCAACAATGCTGCATGAGCAGTACATAATTTTTCTGAATCAAAAATTAGAAAAGTGGGATATGATGACTAGAAACATTGTCTATGGGAGAATTCAAATGTATTATGAATGCACAAGATGTTTACCAGTGGATGATGCATGATGAGTTACCTGCCCATTTTGAAGTAGGACTATAGTATTAAAACTTAAGAGAGAAAAGGAAACGGGTTTTTAACATCGGCTATATTACTACCTTAGGTACAGTCCAAGTGTAGAACTTAAGGTGATTCATATGTACTGTATATGTATTCAGGTGTAGATTGAGGAGATTTATTCATTAAAGATAAAGAGTAATCAAATGCTTCTTTTTGTTAAAATTATTGCATTTTTATGGGACTAGAATGTTGTGTGCAAAGATATTGATGTAATAATGAATAAATCAGATTATTTTTTTTTAATGAAGGAGAAAGATAAGATGATTCTCACATGGTCTTCATTTAAAGATGTATTAATCTTTTGTATTATGGCTGATGCTGTGAGGTAAGTATTTAATTAAAAGTGCTTTGAAAAGATGAAAATTTACTTTAATGCAGATTTTTTAGAGGGATGAGTGAAATAACCAACATCTTACCTGCCATGCCAGTCATTGAAATTTTGTTCTTTCTTGTCTTTGTCGGTGGAAGCATTATTTTGCATAGGGATGCCAACAATTTATATTAATAAAAGAGATGGCAAAATTATTACAGTAGTGAATACTTCTTTGTGATAGTGGATGTCACTGAACAAGTTGTAATCTATTCAGTGATTGAGTTTGAGCAGCAGAGGTATGAGCCTTGCTTCCTCCTTTTGCACTGTGAGTTTAAAAATATCCATCTAGATTATTTTTTGGCTCCAGGAAGTATGTCCACACTACTCTCATTTAGTCCCAGTTACTAAAGGTACAGTGGCTGGCTCACCTATTTGCATTGGCATTGTTTATCATAAATTTTTAAATTTTGGTTTGATGTGCTCTTGGTTGTGTATACTGTAATGTTTACAGTTACTATAACTCTTAAATGTAAGATGGCTTTGAAACTTGAACAGATTGCTAAGCCTGGAAAATATATTTTTTACAGAGACCCCCTTGAAGTCATTGGCAGATAACATATCTTGGCATCCCTATAATAAATAATATTGCCACTCAAGTTGGTGGCAGCCAAGCACTTCAGTTCCACTTGATCTTAAAAATAGCCTCTGCCCACCTTTGGCATCCTTAGCAAGAGTTATGAATCATAGAAGTTGATTGGTTGAAAAAAAATCAGTATTTAATATGAACAAAAATTCATATGAAACTGAAACACTGTGATTACATTTTAAATCTGAGATTTTTCTACTAATCACTGGACTTCCAACCATTTTGTTGCCATATTGGTCACTTCATAAAACCAATGCAGCCATGGTGTAAAAAAAAACTGGGAGGGGGAGAGAACCATCCTACACTTATGGAGATTTGAGTATGCAAAGGTAGGAGTAATTAAGCATTAATGGGGAATGTTAAAGGCCAACCAAAAAATAATGTACAGTATACAGGAAAACCACTCACCCATAAATCGGTTTGGGGCAAAACTATAGCAATAAACTGCGCACTAAGCTTAACAGAAAGGAGGGAGATACTGTTTGTCCACTAAGAAGTGGTGTCTGGACCCATAAGGCCAGGTTCGGGCAAACATAGTATCTGAAGAGTGTGTAGATGACCACCACCTCATCCCAATTATGATGTGACCACACCTTAGCTCATACTTTAATACCAGTAAGCTATAAAAATCACTCTTGGAGTCTTGGTGAAGAATATAAATCTGGAATGAACTCGGCCATTTAGCAGGTTTATAGGGGTAAATATTTACATTCTGGAGCAATACTAAGTTCTCCAGTGCTTTCACATGGGGGTTTTGTCCACCGCAGCACCATGGGCCCTGCTACTTGAACCCCTCTCTGGTTCAGACTTTTTAGATATTTGTTATCTTCAAGCCTGTACAGTATAGTGGGAAGTTGAGAAAAGGCAGTGACATGACCAGTGTGGCAATGTTAGTAAGCAACCAACAACTTGTACGAATTGTAATGGTCACTAAGGACACTTAATAGTGAATACACATACTGTACTGGTTAGATTAACTGTAAGATGAGACACGATTGATGGTTTTTCACTTAGCTGTACTGTATATAGGAAGAATGACTACTTTTCTATGTTTTTGTCTTGCTCTAGAGGAAACATGATGTCAGTAATGCACCATTGATTATGTAATGAAACATATCCAGAATGAACTACAGTCAGGGGTTGTGATATAACTGACAGAGCTAGTGTTTAACATGGCTGATGGTTTTCAAAAGGCTGCAACCTTGATACATACGTGTTTATAAATGCTTCAGACAGGATTCCTTGTGCTCTTTCTTTGATCAAGCAATAGAAAGATAATGAAATAAGTTGAACTAGTCTTGAAAATTTGGAATCTGTTTTTTGGTGCATCATACTGTAACATTTGTCTGGCTTTGTTCCATAAGACAAGTGTGGGACTGCATCTTGGGATTTTTGGTAGTGCCAATGTTTATGCTGGCTCTTCAAATCCCATAAACGTGATAAACTTTGATGGCTTGTATTTTATGCCATTGGCATTTAGGTATGTGTAAAGATTTGTTTGTCACCATGTACTATATCTGCTGAACATTAGCAGTGTTACTGTGTGAAGATGTGCTATGTAAAGATTTTTTTTTCTCCATAATGTCAAATGATAATGAATAAGCTTTAATTCCTCTCTGGATTTACATAAGCTGGCTGGCTTACAATGAAGCATTGCTCTTACTGTGTTTGAGTTAGATTAGTTTTATTAATGAAAATCTGGTTTGTAGTTCCTTTCTAAAGCAAATTTTTGTGTCAAATATGAAATACATTGTAAATGTACTCTTTAAGGTTCATGAACTACATGTTACATTAACCCCTTCACCAAATTTTTTGTTCAACAAGGGAGGAAATGCTTGCTATCGCCTGTCCAGTCTGGTTCATATATAGTTTAATGGTATGTGAGTATTTGTGTATGTATGTATGTACTTGAATGTGTGTACACAATGATTCTCACAGAGAAGGAGTGTCTTGGTTAATGTTAGAGTGTAGTAGACTCCTTGATGGAGAGTAAGAATGAATGTGACCAAATTTCTGTGGAGGAAATTCCCTTCTTAATTGTAATGATCCCTCTCCAAGTTGCCTAGTGATTCTCAAGGTGTTCAGAAAAGTGGATATTAGTTAAGGAGAAGTAGAGAATAAGGCACAGTGCTGTGTCCATACTTGATGACTTAAAGATTTAAAGTAACAGTGGTCTCATAGTTAGGTCAGTTGATAGTATGTATTGTAGTGATCTATTTTCGTCATAATATCCAGTACAGTTGTCTTGAAAGGGAGGGGGTTAATAATATTAACATGTCTTTTTGTGTGTCATTCATTTTTTTTTTTCAGTATTGTATGTAATTATGAATTTTATAGGAACATAGGTGCCATAATGAAATATATGAAATATAAATACATACATACAGGCATATATATGCAAGATAATGTCCATCTCCAGTCAGAATGTATTTCAGATGTTAGTAGTTGTTGTTATCCATGGTTTAAGCTCAGTTAGTGATGCTTTTATGGGATTAGCAAAAATATTTGTAAGTGACTACTTTTGTGTCTTAGTAATGAATGTGTGTGTAGGATGAGCACCATTTTGCTTGAAACTGAAGTTAAGTGATCATCACCTTTGAGGAGTTCCATTGCAAAGGTGTTTTCATATCCACACAATGATACAAAAAACATTAGGACCATGATGTTCCTAATTGTCTTAGTCACAGTATTTGATGATTTAACTTATCATGTCAGCTAGGGGTATTTTGGGGAACCCTAGTCAGTAGCACTGCTCCTTTTTATAGCATTTTGATACTCATGGGCTGGGGACAGTGAGGAGGTTGTTTGTCTTAGCTCTTCACATTGCAGCTTTTATATATATATATATATATATATATATATATATATATATATATATATATATATATATATATATATATATATATATATATATATATATATATATATATATATATATATATATATATATAACACACACACACACACGAATGAGGTTTATAAATGTATTAGATATGATTCTCAGGAGTCCTACTTGTACTGAAAGATGTCACTTGCATTGGAGAGGCAGTTATTATTTGGGCTTTTGGCATGAAGGTTGTTGTAAAAAGAATATGTGATAAATATTGATGTAAGGTATAGTGTAAGAAAAAAGGAACATGTCACTATTAAAACTAACAAGGAAGAAACATATGTTCTTCATATGTTTTAAATTTCATCTACTCCAAGTAAAAGTGATTTTCCTGTGGCTGCCCTTATTTTATACAGACATTGTTAGTGTGGGTCCATCAACAGGCCTGTCGCCTTATTCCTTCCTCAGCCCATTGGTGCGCTGCCCTCCTGCCTCTGACCCATCCCAGGTGCTGTGTTTATCAACATTCTTGTCGAACATTTGCATAATTCTCATGTGGCTCAAACTACCAATGTTCTCTCTCAACATGCTAGCTTATTCATCATCATCTTCACTTGAAGCAATATCATCATATCTATTTTATGCACATTTGTAATTTTTGAAATGCTTTGCAAAGATGCTTGGATATTTTTTATTTTGTAAATATAAAATTCATATATAAATAAATATATAGTAAATTTGATATGTTTGGAAAAGCTTAACATTGAAATGTCATATTTTAAGTAGAGCAATGCTAATTAACTGTGATAGTTTTAACAGTAGCTGAACTAAATGAGAATGAATACCATTCACATCTTGGACTCCCAATGATAGCGGGAAGAGTTTCTCGTGGGTGTTGTGCAGCCTCAGAGTAGATGTGTGTGGATAGGTCCTCCTTCACCTTGGCTTTTGTGCGGGCTCCTGTGTCTGGGTTTCTACACTCACATGGCTGCTTCCACATTTGTAAATGTAGCTTAAACTCTGTGACTGTAGATGGTAGGTAGTTATCTTGGTAATGAATGGTCATTCTATGTCCTTGAAATGAGTGCAAGATTATGTGGTAACAGCCTGAACAGAGTCCTGTGTGTATTAACCTTTTAATACTGAAACTTCAATGGATTTCTAAATATTATTTTCTCTTTCGAACCTGGATAGCTTTTGCTGTACCTGGCACAAAGAATTTGTAGTGTTTGCACTGAGTATAATGTAGAATGCATCTCAGCTTTTTATTTATAGCTTTGTTTATTTTGTCAAAGGAAATGGTGGGAAAAAATGGAATCCATTGTAGTCTTATAACCTTGAACATCATGTTCTTGGTGCTTAGAAGAAGAATTTGTAATGATATTTTTGCACAATTGAAGTAGAATACAACATGGATTGACATGGTATTCGGTGTATACTTTGGTAATCACTGTAGTTATTGCCGTTACTTTTGTTAAGGTAACAAAATACATGTAGATTAAAATAGTCTCTTAGTAGTTTGAATGTTTCAAACCAGATTTCATGAAGGTGCCAGGTGATTGTGAACAACAGAATGTATTATATCTTTTTTACAACTCAAACATTAGATTTCCAGTCAAAGATGACTTTTACAAATGGGGTAAAATAAATGTTCAAGGATATAAAGATGTGGTAACTACCCCAAGTCTTTGTGACACCTATATGTATTCCCCAGATTTTGTTTTTATTTTCTAGTCACCACAGACAGATTATTATGATTTAGTCTTAGATAAACATATCCATATCACTCACTCACTCAGTTGGATGGGTGTGAAGCATTTTCTATACAAAAACATAGATACATACATGTATAAAGTAGTACACAGTTTCGTTTTGGTGCAACTACCTATACACACACTGGCACTTTCTTCCAAATTCACTTATATTTTTGTAGGCTCTTCATGAAAATGTCTCTTTGAGAATACTGTACACAATAAATGTGCTGTCAATGTACATACTTATTTGTGCAGTATATATGCACACGTTGTATGGCAGTTGGATTGATAGTGACCAGGACATTATAATCAAAAATATGACAAAAAAAAATCATAACTAAAGGATCACATTTTTTTATACTTTAATTGATACATCTTGTTGTAGCATAACATCATTTAACAAAATATCTGGTCCCAGGTAATTTCTGTGGTGTACATACTAGTGACTTTAATGTTTGAAGAGCTTTTGTGTCAAGATTTTTTTCATCAAAGAGTCATAGTTCAGTGAGTGCATCTTGGTGGGCATCTTGGACTGTATTTCTCACAGTAATAAGTTTTATGCAGTATCTTCATAGTATTTTTAATGAAATAAGGGAATGTCGAGACAAGGAAATGTCTCCTCTAGTAAGAATGAGAGGGAACTACAAATGGAGAGCTTAAGCCGTAAGTCTTGGGGATATTCTCTAAGACTTCCTCTCCTCTGTGGTACTGTATGTCTTATGGACTGTTATTGTACTGTATTGTGATGCAGTATTCTGTTGTAAACATTGCTGTCTTTAGTGTCTTTCCACAATGGGATTCAGGATTCATAGTTGTTTAGATATTGGAGTTGCAAGTTAAACTGGTCATTTACATCACCCACAATAGAAGTTTGCTCAAATAGTTTGATGCTTTGGATTAAAATAAATTTCATGTCTGAAGTGAAACTGTTCTCGGGTGTAGCCGGATTACAGTATAAGTTAATATTTTCCTGAATACAGGCTGTATTTTGGCAGATTACAGTATGTGAACACATTAACCCGTAAGTGTTGTAATAGACCAATAAAAACAGTGGCTCGATAAGTGAAGGGTAATTGGACATGGCTTTTGGTTTGATTGTGTAGTTAGCATCAAGGCAATTTTACATTTTTATGTACAAAAATAATAAAGAATATCTTGGTCAATCACAAATCATTATACAGGGTGTCCATGAAGTTTCTATCTATTTTATTGAAATTAAAGTAAAATAGCTTTGCAAAGGTCGAATCTGTCATCAGCATTGCAAAACACATTTTGCAGTACAGTATATCTGGAGTTGTTTATGTAACTGTCACCACTATACGATTTTGTAAATCTTGCAGATATTTAACCCTTATTCGATACCTTCTGATTTGATAAAGTCCTATGAAAAAAATCCAAGGGCATTAAATCTCGGGTTCAAGCTGCCCAGATCCTGTTGCTGCCACATCCAATCCAGTGATTTGAAAAACGTTCATCAAGGTATTCCCAAATGATGTTCATGTAATGAAAGACAACAGTGTTCATAATGCTGTCTGAAAGAAGCTGTGGTTCTAGGAATTGTTGAAGCATGTCCAGATAAATAGGCCTGGTAACTGTAGCTTCAGCAAAGAGAAAGGGGCCATAAATCCTGAATGTTGTTATACCCAGCAGACATTAACTTTAGGAAAATCTCTCTCCCATTTATGAAAGGTTGGTTCATCATTGAAAAGATTGTGATCCATTAAATTTTCATACTTGAATTGTACAACGAGCTCTGCACACTATTGGACAGTTGATGTGGGTATGCTGAGTCTATGTGATGCAGTGCAAATTGATATTTGTGGATTCTCAATAACATCTTGTACCACATTGACAAATCTTGAACTCATCATGAACAGGTCCTGTTCTTTTAAATTTATTAACCAAATCACAAATTAATTTGTTTGCAGGACCAGGGTTTTTTTTTTTTTTTCTTTCAAACATTTCTCTAATTTCTTTGAACTTCTTTCCTTGGATTTTAAGTGTTACTACCATCACACGTTATTGTACATGTACAGTTAAAGACAGACATGTCCTTGTTCTGTCAAATGATCGCATACATCTAACGAACCTTATTGAAAGTCGTGCCAAACCGTTCACCATACACAGTATGTTTTCACCAGCTTTTGATGACAACTTTTGTGTTTGTTCAAAGGGTTCTGCACACACACACACACACACACACACACATATATATATATATATATATATATATATATATATAGAGTTCTGCTATAACGCGTGTTTTGATAACGCGAATTTGCTCTAACGCGATTTATGAATTCGGAACAATATTTGTATAACGCGAACGCTTGTTTGCTATAACGCGATTTTTGCTTACTATTTCTCCAATTTTGTGGTATTAACTGTGAATATGGTAAAGAAGAATATCTCCAAAAAGCGTTCTGATGATAGAATTCCCGGTGATTATCGTAAAAGAAAGGATATAACACTTGAAGAGAAGCTCGATGTTATCAACCTCAAAATCACCCTTCTCCCCCATCAAGTTACATTCATATTTTTTCAAGGTAAAGTGTTAAATTTACTGTATGATTTCATTATTAGATATGAATGTAACATTTATTTAGACTGTGCTATCCTTTGTGTTAGGCTAACTACTAAATTTTTTCGATTTCGAGTAATCTGCACCTAACCCTATTTTCTCCATAAGCCCTGTTATTTCTATTACGTGATTTTCTATAACACGATATTTTACAAGAACACAATTATCGCGTTATAGCAGAACTATATATATATATATATATATATATATATATATATATATATATATATATATATATATATATATATATATATATATATATATATATATATATATATATATATATATATATATATATATACTGTATTTATTTATTTATTTAATGAAATAGAAAGGGACTTTACAAACACCCTAGGAGGCATTTTATAGGCTTAATTAAGTTCATTGTAGATTTAACCCTATCTCTTAATACTTGAATATTTGAAAAATTGGTTTTGCATAATTTGGTCGTTGATATTCATAATGATTAAATCAAATGTCACCTTATGTTGAGTGAATATTGTTGTACTTCAGATTTTATTGTTAGCAAAACATCAATGTTGAAATATTAGCATGTTAAACTTTTGCTTAACATTGTGCTGTTAGTTACAGTACAGTATTAAGATTGTTCCTATGTCACCCAGGGAACTACAGTACCTCCTTATCAGAAGTGCAGGTCTGTTGAAAGAAAAAATAATTCCTTTATGGCCACTTTCTCTAATTAACACAGCAGTGTTTGTGGCCATGTCCACATTGCAACCTAATTGATGATCGGGGGAAGGCTTTTATATTTTCCATTTCTTGATCTTGTCATGTGCCTTTGATCCTCTCCCTTACGACCTTCATCCTTGTCCCTTCACATGCTTTGGAGTATTGTTGTATTGTGCATTGAAAACAACCATTCATTTTGGAAAATTTCTCCAAGCGTATATTTTGAATATTTCTTATGGTTGATGTGGTTTATGGCTATGACAGTGTTTGGGCTACCTGCCAGGTTATCCTGTTCACACTCACAGTTGAACTGTACATATATTTTTTCACAAGACTGAAGTAGAAAATGTCTAAAGGTTTCACTGACTGCAAAGACGGTTTGTCTTAAAAAAAGAAATGTGGTAAAGGATTCTCTATAAATAATGATTGCATACCATAATAAACTGCTATTCTTATCTGGAGAATATTTAAAAAAGGTCCAGATCAACCTTATCATTGCAAGTTAAGTTTTCAAAGATTATGATGGAAAAGTTATATTGTTAACTTGTACTAGGGGGGTTGCAGGTTGTTCTTAATGTAGGGGTAATCTATAGAAACACTCCTCTGAAACAGTTGTCAACTTCATGCTCTTCCTCATGTAACTGAGCATTGTAAGGATTTTTTATTGGTAACTTCCAAGTGGTTGTCCCTTAAATATGTACTCTTGGCACTGATTATCGTTTGGTTGAATTTTCATTTAGTCAGGCTTTGGCAATTACAGGAAATGTGAGACAATATTTTCCTGGTTAAACCTTTGGCTTTGTGCTGCGTGTTATTACAGATAATTCTTAAGCAGTACAGTATTCCGAAACAGACTTATAATGCCAAGTGCTGATGATATTTAGGGACAGACACAACAGCTTCATGGTCATTGTGTTCTTCATACCTGTAAAATATAGCCGTGCTTATTTATTTACTTTTCATGCATAAGTGTTGTCTGTATTATTTGAATTGTGGGCCATTACAATGAATCTTACTACAATGCAAATTTTTTTTTGCACTCATGTTTTCATTGTTTATTTATGTATATTTTATTACTTTTATTACATTGTATGGTAATGGTGGCTTGTCATGTAATGGAAAAAATATATATTTCCCTTTGTTGTGGATGTGAAATTAACAATCAGAGTTGTTTTGAACTATTTTCTCCCAGGTTTGATGTGGTGAGATAATTTAAACCTGTCATGAGATTCTTACATCCTAATATAGCAATTCAAATTTCATAATTCAAGAAGTATGTGCCAGGTATATAAATCATATATAAATCCCTGTAACTTGCATTTGCCATAGTTAATCTTTATTTACAGTAAAAATGCATATCAACTTGTCCTCTATGGATAGTTGAATCATTTTCAAGGATGATGTACATTTCAAGCTTTTTATTATGAAAAAATAAAACCTGCAACAAATTCTTTTTACACTTTAAATGAGACCAGAATAGTCATGTGGAACCAGGTGTTCTGGAGATAATGATTCTTATTTAAGTATTAATGTGGGATCTCATAGCTTGTTGTGTCCTATACAGGGATTTCAAAAATTTCTATATATATATATATATATATATATATATATATATATATATATATATATATATATATATATATATATATATATATATATATATATATATATATATATATATATATATATATATATATATATATATATATATATACAGTATATATATATATATATATATATATATATATATATATATATATATATATATATATATATACGTATATATATATATACATATATATATATATATATATATATATATATATATGTGTGTGTGTGTGTGTGTGTGTGTGTGTGTGTGTGTGTGTGTGTGTGTGTGTATATATATATATACATATATATATATATATATATATATATATATATATATATATATATATATATATATATATATATATATATATATATATATATATATATATATACACACACACTTAGCAAGCGTAGTTTCATAACGAAGAGGAGAACCAGGTTAAACACAAACATCTTGACGAAGTTGGGTTTCTTAAATTGTAGGGTTACGTGAGGTTATGTTGTCTAGCACTCAGGATGGGATGGATGGAAACTCTAGGTGGTGGTTTTCTTATATAAAATATATTATATACAAGACAGTCTGGTTGCTGGAGAGGCCGTGTGGTGAGAAGCTTGCTCAGAAGACACGTTCGGTGAGTAGCGTGCTTGAGGAGGTATCTGTGCAGGAGCTTCGTTAGAGGAGATGTTGCGTGTTGCTGTACTCCAGGGTGAATGAGGGCTGGACAGCGAAGCGCTTGCTCGGAGGTGTTGCGTGTTCAGGTACGTAGAGTAGAATGCATCTCAATGGAGAGACTGAGAGCTTATATACACAGCAGTCAGAAGTAAACCCGTGGGAACTCGCCTGTTGCTGGACTCCGTTGCTAGGGCAAGCATCGCAGGTGGTGACCCCCGTGAGAAGCTTACCGGTTGCTAGGATACTGTCGCATTGGAATGCGGCTACGCTGTTGTAGGGGAGAGATCCACTACAATACTCCCCCTTCCCTCCGGGCGGTGCAGGAGACTTGTTGTCGGCAGGGTTGTATGCCACATGTGAGACATAACGGGCGGGGGTGTGGATGAGCCGGCCGCTGTGGGAGACGACTCTGTCTAGAGACACGAGATCTGTGGGAGAAGTAGAGGGAGGAGTAGGTTTGTGGATAAGAGAAGGTTTTACAGGCGAGGAATGTGGTGCTTCTCTCGCAGCGGGTACGCAGTCCTCAGTGGCGCCGGGTGGGGTGTCTGGGTCCGCGTCAGGAGCAGGGGCCACGTTGGGAGGAGGTGCCATGACAGCAGGAGGGTGCAAGGCAGGTGCAGTGGGTA